ATTTAATGATGATGATGTATCCATTACATAGCCCCACTTCATGTCAGCATCCATTTTATGTACTGCAGACTGTGACTCTCTAGTCATAACCTGAAACCACTTCACTTCTGTAATCACAGAATGAAATCTTTTGTGTTCTAATCATCCTTATCTCCTGTTCTTCCACCTTTCTTGTTCAACTCTTCATATTGTTCTTTCTTTTTCGTAGATTTTACTGGGATTCCTTATCAGCTGATGCTGCTCTCTTTGCCCTGTCTGTGCCTCCTTTCTTTACTACCTTCTTCCTTAGATAGTCCATGACTCTACTGCTCAATAATATTCTGGCTAGTTTTATAATTTTCCTATACCTGTCCTTTTCTTTCATATCTATCTGGCAAAATCCTACATCCAGTTAATGTAAACATGCCTTTATTCTTTGGGTAACTAGGAGATGGTGGAGAAAATCATTCAGCTGGGGCTCTCAGCACTTTAGCTTTCAATAGCGTTTCTCTGGTCACTTCACTGTCCCTCAGTCTGACACCTCAGAACTCTTTACACTCTTCCAGTTGCATATCTCCCTGTTGCTACCCTCAGTTAGTGACTTCACCCCTTGTTTCATAAAATAGAAAAAGAATCCAGTGGAGCTTCCTCAGCTTCCCTCCACCCAACCCTCATGGGAACCTGCCTCTGCATCTGTGCTTCTGTTGTGCACTCAGTCCTTGCTTGTTCCTCCTGTTTATCACCCACCTTCTCAGATGTTTTCACCTCCTCTGTTTGTTTAATTGGATCTTCAACCCACTCCAGACTTCATTCAGTTGTCATCATAATGCCAGCTCTTGAAACCCATCTTGCAGGCCTTCTTCAGTCCTCACCCTGCTCTCTGGCTGTTCCTTTTCTGTCTGTCTAGACTTCAGATGGGGTGGTCTTCAGATTTCTCACCTTTTTTCCCCCTACTCTGAAGTCTAAACTCTTCCTAAATGATCTCACTTTTATATTGAATTCAGTCATAGATTATAAGCAAAAGAGTGAATTTTTATCTATAGTTCAGACTTTTATCAGGTCCCTAAGTCCTACTCAGGTGAAATTTCCAATGGGATCTCAAAAGCTTCTTAAAAACCTAAGTGTAAACTATGAGACCTTCCTTTCCCTTATCCTTTAACTCTTAATCGTCATATTCAATCCATTACCAACTCCAATAGGTTTTACCACTTAAATATTTATTGAATCTATYTTCTTCCATCTGTGTCATCATGGCCCATAATCTAAGACAATATCATCTTTTGCCATGATCATTTTTGCCTCTTAATTGGTCTATTCAAGTCTAATCTTATCCTCCAATATGTTGTTACATCACAACCAGAAAGTTTTCTCAAATGCAAACACAATTATTTAAGCCTTTTAGTGACTTCCCATTAGTTTTATAATAAATTATTTCACATGATCTTGGACTTTATATAGCTCCTTGCCTATTTCTATAGCCTTCACTTTGCTGTTTTCACCTATATTCTCTTATGGCTTATTGCTTCTTTCCACCACAGGTCCTTTGCACACATAGTTTCTTCTGTCAGCAATGACATTTCTCCCAGTTCTTAYCTAATTAATGCCTACTTAGTACCTCAGCTCAAAGATCACCTTATAGAGAATCTTTCCGATTTCTCAGCCTTCAACTGAGATAATTAGGCCCATGTATTGTCAGATCCCCATTGTGGCCTATACTTTCCCTTTCTAGTACCTGTCTCTGCTTGTAATTATTTGTATGAGTATTGACCAATGTCTGTCATTGTATTGAAATGTAAGTCTTCTGTGATGGACCATAGGTATTTAGCTCATCATTTTGTACCCATTGTACCTAATATCTAACACATCATAAATTATGTTTAAAAAGTATTTTTAAGTACACAAATGAATGTGCTTTTAATCAATAGCCATTATAATAATTCTAAAAGTAAGTACTGATCATTCCTACCTTTTAGAAGAAAAAATTGAGGCTCTGAAATTAGGTAACTTGCCTGATATCATCCAGGTTGCATAAATAGTAGATCTGGATTCATTTTTGCTATTTCATTTTTATTATATTGTTTTATTGGGATAAAGATCTATTTTAAAAGATCTGAAGTAGATATTTCATTTCAGAGTTTTGTTATGAAATTAAAATTATTTTTTATTAGTGATGTTAACTGCATGATATGGGGTCCAATGTGAGAAAAAAAACAAAATAAAAATATCCTCCAGTTTAAATGAACTGAGAATGTRTTAGCAAATTTTAAAATATATATTTTTATCATTAAAAATAATAACATTCAAATATGTTTGTGAGAGGGTCTTAAATAAAAAATGAAGATTATTAACTTATCTATAGTGAAATACTAATTACATAAAAGTGAACATAAAGAGACTAGAAAGAAGTCTACTTGCAGGTAATTCTTCTGGGTGRTGGTGTCATGGGTAATTTATTTCCTCCTTGTATTTTGTCTATACTTGCCTGATTTTCTATAATGATAATGTGTTATTTTTAAGTTTGCATATAAAATACATTTATTAAATAAACACTGGTGAAATAATAATTATAGGGAAGAAAATTTTAAAGAATACACAATCATATCTTAGTAGTTATAAGATCTGTTTGATAATCCTTAARTCTGATAATAATCTGGTGGCCCAGCTGCTGGTCAGTTTTTACTTCTCAATTGATAATCAAGTAGTTGTCTCCTTAAAATTTTAAAATGTTTATATTGATAAAGATATACTTCATGATATGTTAGTGACTGAAGGAATAAACAGGAATTTCTTCATTTATTAAAAGGAAATTAAYACCTTCCAAAACATTAACTTAAAGAATATGTTACTGATCCAAAGTTTTGTAAACCTTTGTTTGTGTTATACTTATCAGCATGTGGTTACTTCGTATTTACTTATCCTCTCCCCTTGTTTCCTTCTGATTAAAAACAGCAAACAACCTGTGTAACTTCACACTTATCAATAACTCATTGAGACACCTCAGCTGAAATCTTCTTTGTACCTGACCCACAGTTCTATTGCAAGATTCCCTTCTGTAGCTTTAGAAACACTAGTGCATGGACACTAACTTTGCTTTTGCCCTTGTGGACAAGGGAAAATGCTTACAATAGTTCACATGATATCTTCTTAACAGCATTCCTTACCAAATCAAGCAAGAGTAGAATAAAATCTCATAGGTTTTGCATGAAATCTATTTTAGCCACAATTTTGTTATCTGGAATTAATTATTTGATTGATTGCTTATACTTACCAACTATTTATTAATTGCTTATATTCTTTAGATATCATGTTAGGCCTTGTAGGAGGATTAGAAGAGAAAAAAATACAATCTACCATCACTGTACACCAGAACTTTCTATGATGGAAATGTTCTATACCTGTGCCTTCTAATCCATTAGCCACATGCAGATATTGAATGCTTGACATGTAGTTGGTGTGACTSTGAGTCTGAATTGTTAATTTAATATTTAACTATTGTATTGTACATATAATTCAATGATTTTTTACTATATGCAAAGTTGTGCGGTTATCACCACAATCAATTTTTGAACATTTTCATTACTCTAGCAAGAAACCTGGTACTCATAGCAATTGCTCCCATTTTCCCCCAACTTCCCCAGCTCTAGGCAGCTGCAACTCCCTCCCCCCCCAACTCCATGGATTCTCCTATTTTGAACTTTTCATCTAAATAGAATTTGGTCTTTTGTGATTCACTAATTTAATTTTAGTTTGTTTAAATTTAATAGTCATATGTGGTGAGTAACTATCATAAGAAGCAAGTGARGTAAAAAGACCAAAGACAGATGCTTAAGGAATGCTGAAGACTGAAGAGAAGAAAATCCTGTAAAAGGTGCATAGGGAAGACAGATCAAAGAGATAGGAGATGAGTCTGGATAAAGTCTAGAACTAAGACAGGATCCTGAAGTAGAGGATGGTTAATTATACCAAATAATGCAGGGGAGTCAAAGAAGCATAGCTTCAGTATGGTGATAGTATAAAGACTCTTGATGCCAAAGGACACTGCAGCATGGTGTTGGTGAGCAAGCATAGGCAGGTAGGCTGTGCTTTTATGTCATCAAGAGATGGAGGGAAGGAAGAAAAATTCAAGACAGCTTGAGAAGGATGTCGGGATTAATGAAAAATGTTTGGTTGCTGTTAGGATATTTTCCTGGAAACTGGAGCCTACCYGTAGGCAGAAGACAGGGATTCAGTCTCTGAGAATGTGGGTGAAGGTAGCACTATGTTTATTAACATAGGAGTAACTTCTACCATAGAGTTAGGCATCATTGTTCTCAGAAGCAGAAGCAAGTGAAGAAAATGTGGTGAAAATACAGAGCAAATTTTACATAGAAAGAAAGGAAATTCAGAGTTAATTTACTTTGGGAAATTTGAATGAGGCCTTCTGAGGGTAAAATTTGGGTCCTCCTGCTGCACTGTGATCCTAACTGGAGAAGGGTGGAGAAGGAGGGAGCATGGGAAGGATCTTCAAATGGTTTGGGGCCATGAGTGTCATGGGTTTCAGTCACTTATATGTCCACAGCTCACTCAACCTTCCTTCTTTCCTCTTTCCTCGCCTCCTTCACTCTTTCTTTTGTTCCTTTCTTTTATCCATCTATTCTTACACTTGTAGCAAACAGTGCCTTTTGCTCTATAGTGTTCTCTGCCCTAYAAGAAAAATGGAAACAAAACATAAAGCTTTTAATCCATATTACAAGGAATATGAATTTCATGTTATGAGTTATAATAATAAACTAGCATTTTCTTAATTTTTGAGTCACTTTTTTCCCCGATATTGTCATAGTGGAAGATCTAGGAAGTACTTTGAAAATTCTAAATAAAAACAGGTATGCTAATGTAAGAGAAAAAGGTACAAGGTAGTCGATATTGAATTAATTAATAACATTGTTTTAGAGCAAATCTATATAGATCTCTTAGATCCTAAAAATCAACTTTTATGGTCTTTTCAACATGTAAACATATTTACATATGTTTTTCTCTTTTAGGCTTTTAAAACCAAGGATGGCTATTTTGTAGTTGGAGCAGGAAATGACCAACAGTTTGCTACTGTGTGCAAGGTAATCCATAATCATTGGGGTGAGTGGATGATATATGCAATAATTCATTTTGTGCAAAGCTAGGGCAAGTTTAGTTTTGCCTAGCACAATGATGCTAAGTCAATAACCAAGTTAGAACCCCGTACATTAGTACCTAAAAATATAGCATTTTCAAACTTATCATACATGATAATGACTGGATTTGAATTAGCACACAATTTTTTTAAATTATAGCATTCAGTTGGATTTTGAAATGAAGAAGTTAGCTTAAATTGTTCTCAAACTTGATATATCTATTAGTCAATATTAAAATGGGAAGAAAAGAAAATGAATTTTAAAGCAATATTTAACAATGGGAATTTTCCTCCCCTCCTTCCTTCTCCTAGGTCTTTTGTTTTTATTTAAGACCTTAGATATCAGTTTACTTTTCCCCTCCTTCGCTCTCTTCTTTCCTTCCTTTTTTTTCTTACTGTCTTCCTTCTTCCCTTTTTCTGCCTCCCTTTCTCTCTCCCTTCTTCCTTCCTTCCTTCTTCCAATATCAGGTTTAATTAGGTCCATATATAGTTAAACACTCCCAAATTTATTTTGTTCATCATTAAAAAATTTCTAACTTTTTCAAAAATTAACCTTTGCTTAGAGTACCTTTTATCAAAATTCATGTTTAAAGATTTTATAAATTAAGGTTGTATTAGAATGTTGTTCCTCATCAAGGCCTGAAAAAAAGGCCTTGGAATCATTTAAAATAACATGGTAGGGATATTCTAAATTTTAAACATTGCCTAGACATTTAAAAAATGTTTTATTATATATATCTAGAACTTTTSTCCTTTGTTTTTACTTAAGACATTAGATATGAGTTTACTTTTTCCAGTTTTCTTTTTCTTTTTCTTGCATGTAGAAAAAGAAAAGGCTTTACTTATTGAGAATTTTCTTCTGATTGGAGGATTAGTTTTTTGCTAACCACATTATGGTGAGCTTTCAGCTTTTTAAAAGATGTCTGTGAGTTCCTTGGAGGAAACTTATTTATTATAGTAAATTTATTATGTACAAAAATTATTTATTACTGCACCTCTTTTATATGAGGTTAATGAGCAGAGCTAAAAACCACAGCAAAGTGGTGGGAAGTACCACAGTAAAGGTGACAAATGGAGATAGTTCCGACTGTAGGAAGGGCTGGCACATCTGAGGTGGGAAGGAAGGGAGCTTTTATAATGGTGACTCAGTAAGTGTAGAGAAAATTGATTCAAACATTTGATCTGGGATCAAAGAATCTTTATTATGAATGGTCAATGTTAAAAATATGAAACATACGGAAGTCCTTGCCTGTGAAGTCATTTGCGTACTCTAACTGCAGAGATGTAAAAGCTGGTTCATTGCTCTAAACAAGTACAGATTTTCTTCCTGGGCCATATGTTTTGGAGTTTTCTCTCTCTAAAAAAAAAAAAAAAAAAATTAAAAAGGAAAGGAAAAAAAAGGTGGGGAGGAGGACTGGTTGACATATTCTTCACTGTTGAAAATAACTATACTGAATACTTTTAATTTTTGATTCATTACTGTTGATCAATTTGAAACTTTTGAACTTCTTTATAAATATTTGTAAGAACATTTCAAAAAAGATTTTAATTTCAAAGCAGAATATTTGCCATAATTGTTAGTACTAAAGTTATGACTTATTGGTATGGTGTGTAACTATATAGTTTTTTTTTTAAAGGCCATCAGAGGCCTGGGAGAATGGCACWCCTTAATTTTCCCATATGTGAATCAGAAATGATAATCCCTCTTTGAACCATTAAGGAGATGTCTACAAAAACTCTTGAGGTACTCTGAAGAATAATTTTGTGTGAATGGGATTTTAGTGTTATTTACATAATTTACTAGGCGTCTTGAGTGAGTGCTGCAATTTGGTCTTCTCAATCTTCAGAGCGAGTTATATGCTTACATGTAAACCTGTCCTAAAAATATTCTTACCAAAGAAAAATCCTGTTTTCCTACTCCGATGCAAAGTTGTCTTATTCTCCCAGTCATTTTTAGTGACTATAGTTAAGTATTTTTAATTCAAATATGCCTATTGATGAGGGATTCATTGCTCAAACTGTCCTTTATAGAAGGTGAGGTCCCTTTCATTGTTTTTGCTCATTGTTTTTGACAATGAGCCTGTAAAAATTGTTCTTTTTATAAGTAAGTTTCATCAGGAAGAAAGAGACAGCTGTACCTCCTGGGGAGAAATGTGGCAGCATTGTTTGTGATGAATGAATGGGATTTACTTATCCCTTCTCTTTCCAAAATAGAATTTGATATACTGGTTGATTAATACATTTTGAGGAGAGTTTCCATTAGGGAACTCTTAGGGTCAGGGGTTGGAATGGAGCAAGAACATTGGTTCAAGACTTGGCTGTCAGAATGTCTTGCTGTGTATAAAATGAACCTTGGTTTGTAACAAATTTTATTTTATGTCCCTTAACATGATACAGAAGGGTAGGGAAAGTGAGCATATGTAAGCTATTTTAAGCTGATTGATGCCAACACTAATGGGTATTTCTATTTGAAGTATATTGACATCCTTTTAAAAATCATTTAGACTGAAGGCTTCTTTTATTGGAGGCAATATGCATTGGTTCTCAACTTTAGTATGCATAAGAATCTCCTGGAGGCCCATTCTCAAGGACTTGATTTAGTGTGTCTGATGTGGGTCACAGGGAACTTCAATTTTAACAAGCACTGTAGTTGATTTTGGGGTAGGTGGTCTAAGGACACTCTAGCATAATTCTTAAGGCCTACTGTAAATCTTGTTACTAGTCAGGTAACCTCTKGCAAGGTACTGAATCTTACCTAAGCTTCCGTTTCCCCATGTATAAAATGTAGACTAAAACACATAACTACAATAACTTGCATGGTTTCTTAAGAGTTTGATTAGGTAAGTAAAACAGTACAATCCTGGCTCATAGTATGTACTTTATAAATGGTCTCTATCAAAATTGGATGGGGAGATTGTGATTCTAGGGAGGATCCAGTAAGTACTCTTCTCCCTACTCTTCCACCCAGCACAGTGATAAAACCTATGCAGAACGCATGGAGTATCTGAGGATTCTGAAAAGTGAACAGTAGGAGAATTGAGTAAGAACCTCAGAATTTAGAGTACTTCTAAACTGGCAGTAAATTTACCAGTTTTTCCATTATATGAATACAGTGGAGCCTGAAGCTGTAAAGTGGATGCCAGGCAACAAAGCTAAGATCTAGAGATGCTCTTTATTTCTGGTGCAAGGAACCTGAAAAGTAAGCTCTAATGTAAGAGTGTGGAAGTCCTCTGTTTTTTTCCCTCCCCACTTTCTCATGCCTAGCCCTTGAGTAATCCTGTAAGTGGCAGGAAATTTCATCTTCATTGCTTAACTGAGGTCCTAAAGAAGGGATGAATCTTTATTGCTTTTTCTCTATTTTTCCACTGCTTAGCTTTTCTTCTCTGGAAGTATGCTTTAGAGTGGGGTAACTAATGGGAAGCCTCAGGGAACTGGAAAGTTCTGGAGAAATTGCAAAGAGTGAAAAGCTTTGAAAAGCAATCCTTGAAGTTGTTCCTGAACTCCTGGGCTCACCCCTGAGCTGCACATGCACTGGTCTGATTCTAATTAGCACACCAAACATCTTGAGAACAGGGTTGACAATAGATGACTGCCCCAGTTGTAGTGTGATGGACTGTTAAGTGAGGCATATGTAGGACACATTCAAATAATACTGCAAAGACTTTGAAACTGAACCAACATTAGAACCGAACACATAGAAGGTAGTTGGGAAGTTGTAGCTTGGACCTAACCAGGTCAGTTGTTTGCAGAAAACAAAAACATCAGAAATGTTTTAGAGGGGCTGGGATTGTGGCTCAGTGATAGAGTGCTTGCCTTGCACCTGTGAGGCATTGGGTTTGGTCCTCAGCACCACATAAAAGCAAAAAAAAAAWWAAAAAWAAATAAAGTTTAAATAAAAAAAATGCTCTGTAGGATTCAAACAAGACCCAGGGACTCCTGACACAATATTCAAAACATCCACGATACAGTCCAAAATTACTCAGCATATGAAGAACCAGAACTTGCATGACAAAAGACAATCAATAAATGCCAATGCTAGGACAACACAGATGTWGGAATTAACTCATGAAGACTTTAAAACAGCTATTATAAAAATGCTCTAACAAGCATTATAGACACTGTTGAAATAAATGGAAAAATAGAATTGTTTAGAAAGAAATAGAACATATGAAAAAAAAGAAGGAAATTCGAGAACTGAAAAGGACAATAACTAAGAAAATAAATAATACTTTACTGGAGATGACAGAGGAAATAATCAAGGATTTGGAAAAGAAATCAATAAAAATTATTCAGGCTGAACAACAGACAGAGTAACAGTAACCCTTTTTTACTCTAAATCAATTATTGAACATCTGTATAGAAGAAAATAGTAACCAAAATCAAAATTGATAAATGTAATACTAAAAATTTTCAACAAATTTCTATCTTTCTGGATAGGAAAGGGAAAACAAAAGAATGAAAAAATAATAAATTTCAATAGTAATCTCAAAGTATCAATAACAACATTAAATGTGAATGACTTAACCACACCAATGAAAAGACAGATGTTGTCAGAAAAGATAGGAAAAACAACAAAAAACAACAGCCAGGTGTGGTGTCACAACCTGTAGTCCCAGTGACTGAGGAGGTTGAGGGAGGAGGATCACAATTTTGAGGCCAGCCTCAGCAACTTAGTGAGATCCTAAGCAACTTGGGAGACCCTTCCTCAAAAAATAAAAAATGGACTAGGGATGTAGCTCAGTGGTAAAGCACCCTTAGGTTCAATCCCCAGAACCTGCCAACCCCTCCAAAAGAGTGGGAAGTTAAGGTTTGAGCAGATTTAATAAAAGAAAGGGTTAGCCAACTGAATGTCTGATGGAAGATGTTCCAGCCAAGGAGGTAGTTGACTGTTAAAGTCCTGAGACCCACATATGGTAGACACATTCCTGTTCCAGCAAGAAGCTAGCATAGTTGCAGTGAGGAACCTAGGGGGAAAATATGGCAGAAGGTGATGTCAGGGGAAACTGACTCTGCTCTGTGGAGCCTTTGAGGCTGTCATAAGGAGGCTGTTGTCAGCTATTTGTGTCATCAGGTGATGGGAGCACTAGAGTACTTTGCCGTTTCAGCTATCATGTTTTACTATTTTTATGGAGCCAGTTTTCTTTTTCTTCCCTCTCTTCTTTGAACAGTATACCTCTTTATCATTTCTTTTAAGGGAAACATTGCTTAGCTACAATAGTTCACATTTATTTAGTGCTCAGTAGTTAAGCATTTTCATAGAGAGTTTCATTTTATCCCAGGCAGCACTTTTTTTCAAGCCCCTGAAGAATGGATGTGATCACAGCCCCTGAAGACGTCTGTCTAGATACAGTTTGAACATCGGCCAGCATAGCTGCAGACAGAAGGACAATTACTTTGACCCACCATTTCACACCAACTTTAACAGAGAAAAGAGGTTCAAAAAGTCAAATACAGAGGACATGTGGGCACCTCAGTCTCCCTTGAGTGTAGTCATTCTGTACATTTTTATGTAGCTATGGTGTATTCTGGGTGAGGCCAGACTTATAAATTTTACCTATGATTTCTTGAAGGCACTTGTTTTTTCTTGAAATGACTTCTGAACTCCCAGTTGGGGAGGCTTTCTGACCACTGGACAAGCCTTGAGACCATTCTGGGATCAGATGTGCTGATAGTGAGGTTTCTAGCAAAACACTGTATTTGGTGTCGCCATTTTTAAAATCTAGGAGAGTAACGCTGTCTATATCATTCCCTAAGGGAAACGAGTAAGTGGAACATGGGAAAGAGGAATTACACCATTGAGATGGTCTCTTTGCTCCAGGGAATCTTTTTCACTTCTCTCTTCTTTGTAAGATGATTAATGGATTAATTTTATTTAAACTGTGGGAAACAAATGAAACCATTAAATGTTTATATTGAAAGCAAATACATAATAAAGGCAGTGAAGTTTTCTGTAGGCCACATGGCCTGCCCCCAACCCATAAATGCACCTTCTGACTTTCCAACACAACTGCCAAACCCTGCCTCCACACATTCTTTTCAAAACGTCTTTTCCATTCCAAATCCACTTGGTACTTTCATTATGGTCTTGTTAAAATTGCAAGATGTCCAAAGGGATTTGCAAGATAGATTTTCCCTTTAGTGAGAAGCAGCAAAAGAGGAAGTATATAAAAGCATTTCTAGTCAGTATTTCTTCAGGGAGACATACTAAAGAAAAGTAGTGTCACTCCTATAGGAAGAAGATCTTTTAATTTGATGTCATTTTAATGGTTAGCATTTGGGCAAATGTATGGCTTTCCCTTTATTTTAGCACCTTGTACAACATCCTGGATAGTACTATTGGGACAGATCATATTATTTTATTTACATGTGGAACAAATAAGTGAAGGTACCTATAAGATATATGTTGATTGTGGGCTTCATGTAAGGGCAGGCATGTACTTAGGATTTTGGTTCATAAAATTAGATCAGTTTTATCTGATTTTGAACCTCTCTCCATATTTTGTTCAGATAAGACTTTTTGCGGATCTGATAACTCTTCTCATAATCTCATATATGAGTACAAGATATTATGGAGGTCTGAAAACTTTTTTTCTGTGCTCTCATTGTAGGTGTATATACATAAATGTAGTGAAACCTTCTTGTAAATGACAAACCTATTCATTGGCATGACCCATCCTAATTGTGTGATTGTTTCTTCCATATCCCCTTGTTGAGAGTTATAAAGATCAGAAAGGAATGGTCTTGGAAGGGACACTTTCATAACACTCTAAACTTCTCTTTGTGGGTTTTTGGATCTGAATGAATATGTGAGAGGTTTTTCCATGTTGAAAATTTCATCATATTACTAAATTAGACCCAGTCACTAGGATCCAGTAGGATTTACAGGTATATGAAATACTTTGCAAATATTTTTCCCTTTTAGATCTTGAATTTGCCTGAGTTGATTGATGATTCCAAGTATAAAACCAACCATCTTCGAGTGGAGAATAGAAAAGAGCTTATTAAAATACTATCTGCACGGTAAGCTTGGATCTAGCACATATACATTTAAGAATTAATATGCAATAATAATTTATTTGGTGTTTTGTGGAGTCTTTTGTGCTTAGTGAGATTGGTTTGTAATTCTCTTCCACTTCCCAAAATTGGGTTAATGGAAAGCTATTTTAAAGTTATGGTTTTCTCTGTTGTTCAAAGACATTTGAAAGTATTTAAATGTTTTATTCAGTACTTAGTCATACTGATATAAATAAGTCACAATGACTTGAATCAGGTTTCCTCTCTGTGGCTTATAACTGTTTGGATTTAGTATATCATACATAATAATAACAACAATAATAATTTAATATTATTTTGGTTTTTTGCTGTGTTAAATGCTCCATACATTATCACTTTTATCCCTTATAATCATTGTTTGAGGTAAGTTTTATTATTCTCATCTAACAGATTCAGAAMCCTTGGMAAACAGAGGGAAAACCAAGAGTTTACTGGTTTTTCTGAATTGCTTGTGTGAATCAAGATGATGATTCTGGGCCATTGAAAATACCAGATTGAGTTATGAGTCATAAAAGATTAATGTTATTTAATGACAGTACTTAATTTCCAAATTATCCATTCACGTCAGGTTATGCTTTTGTATTGACTTTGCCTCAAGGGGGGAAAAAACCTCTAAACCCCAAAGTAATAATTCCTACTGTATCATAAAAGTTTCACTTTCATTTGCTTCTAAACTTCTCAATCCATAGATACAGTCTTTGTGGATTTTTCAGATCCAAAATGCCCATATGAAGAATTCTTCCATATTGAAAATTTGTTTTAATAATACAAATAAATTAGGCCTTTTTGTTCAAATACCATATCCCGTCTTTTGAAAAGGCCCACTTATTTCTATGTAATATCTATCAAAGTTCTAAGAAAATATAATTGTGCTAATGTTGCTTTTTTGTTGTTCCCTTTATATTTTGGGATTTGTACATGAAATTATGAGTTAATATTCATTTGCTGATTTTCTCTTTCTGGATTTTAAATATTTCTCTACACGGCCTATCCTCTATGTACCAAATGCTCTTCATGTCAATGGGGACTCTGTGTGTGAGACTGATACCCACAGAACAGGGGAATGAGAATTGTGGCCCCTTTCTTGGTCATTAGTTAAATACAATTCTGATTCTACCGCAGTGCCCCAGAGCCCTCAATGATTAACCTTTCTCTACATGAGAACTGGCCATTTATTTCAGCCTTTTGCCTCTTTGCCTCTTAAGCATTTTAAATTCATTTAATTCATTGATATGACTTTTTCCTTTCACACCATGGTTACCAAGTTTCAATAATAGCCACTTGTGAGAATCTTATCAAAAGCTCTTTGATAGTCTAAATAAATTATGTCCACCCTGTGAGAAGAGCAGATCCCAAGAAAAATATAAAAACTAGGCAGATATAAGTATTTAGTTGCCAGCACTTTGATAGCTTCAGGAACCACAGAGTTAAGTCATTGGTTTCCTATGTCCTCAAACTTTTATTCCTTGCTAAATTCTGTTATAAAATTTCATTGTGCAAAGACTTTTAGCAGGATGTATTACAGATTTTTATTCTTCCTCTTTGGGGTGAATTAGTCTGTCTCCTTCTTTGCACTTTTGTACACACAGAAATGGGAGTCTCAGCATTTTTGAACTCTTAAGGTCTGTTATATTTCTATCAGACTCAAGAAGATCAAGTAATCACAGTACATGGAAGGAGATGGGGTTAGTCTGAAGGGAGGAAAATGGGGAGGGAAAGCGCATCATCACAGATACTGCTGTTAAAATACAGCAGTCTGTTTGGAGGCCAGGTTCATGCTCTCTTCTACTGGTTTGTTGACATGTTTTGGTGCTGTCTTATGACTTGCCATTTTCTGAGTCTCTTCAGCTCAAGTCTCTTCTCCTCTCTGTGGATCAAACATGACTAGGGGAGATTAGAGAATTGATTCCTTCTCATTTATTATTTCATCATTTGCTTTTTTGAACAGGTTGGCACTGGATTCATTAGTGCTGCTGATTGCTTGGCTTTCAGAAGTCTTTGCTAATGTATTGAAATTTATCATTTTCATTCTGATTTTAGGTTTTTTCTAGTACTCAAAAACTTTAGCCATTTTCTACAAATTATGAGATTAAATGTGGTCTCTTTAGTCTGATATCCAGGGTTTTCCACATCTAACATCATCTTTCCTGCCTGCTTTTTCTCCTAATCTGCTTCCATAAAAAGGCCCTGCTCCAGCCACACTCCCATTTGGTTTCTTTTGTTTCTTTTCTGGAATACTTCCCAGACCAAGCGTTCTGTGAAGCACAGTCCCGCCTGAAAGGCCAGTTCTACATCTCCATGAAGGCACCCCTGACATCTCTATCTAGGCTCCCTGTCAGGTGACAGCACCTGCAAGAAAGCAGGCATTATTTTTGTGCCATGTATCTAGCCATCAGTTTTCAAACACAGGCTCACTCAGTGTTCACTGTTGCTGGGAATGAGTTTGCTTAGGGGTCTGCTTAGCCTGACCTTCTGGTCTTGTTGTGCATGTTGTTTCTCTCATTTCACAGCCACCTCAGAACTTGTGAATTATTGTAAGTTTGTTTCATTAAAAACAAAGCCACAATTAGCTCCTAATCACAAAGAGGAAGCAGGGAGAAAAGAAGGAGAGGAACCAGCATTTGGTGGATGCTAAGTACAGGCCAGATAAATATTATTATTGTTATTATCTTTCCCACTTTGCAAATGAAAATTCTGAAGTTTAGGGAGGTTATTCCTAAGTACAGGCACGTAGTAAATAGTTAGAAATGAGACTCAGAAGTTCATACATTTTCCATATATCACAATATCATATTACTTCCCTGAAGTGGTACATGATATGTTATTGTGTCCTTGTTTGTTTATTTGCTAAGTCAGTATTTACTGAGCACTTACTACGTGGCAGCACTTTTGCTAGCCTACCATAGGGATAGAGAAGTGCATGAAACAGACCAATTAAGTTATTGAACAATAATTCAGGGAAGGGAAAAGAAGAGTGCCAGAAGTTGGGAGTGAGGCTGGGGCTTTTGCATTTAGGTTGGTTAGGAGGACCTGTCTGATAAAGTGACATATGATCAGAAGCCTGCAGAAAATGAGAGCAGGAGACTGGAAGACATCTGGGAGGAGCATTCAAGATAGAGGTGCATGGTGGAGGGTTAAGGAGTGGCATAGAAGACCTGCCTGTAGGTGGGTGAGCAAGAGAAAGGGTGAGGAATGGGGTTAGAGAGAGTGGGGTAGATGGTAACAGATCAGGTAGTGAAAGTCACTATAGCCTTTTGAAAAACTTGTAAAATAAAGGAATTCTTTTGAGCATAACATGGGTTTAATTATCAGCGAGTTTGGTTTTCTAGACTGAAGATAGAAGTCTCGAGGAAACACTGTACCTGTAGAGATTTCCAGTGATGTAGAGTCCATAAGGGCTCCTTTCTTATCTGGAGAGACCAGAAGAAATCATGARTGTCAGTGTTTTTGCTTCTCATTCAATCATTTGCACTCCACTTATCAAATATTTATTAAACACCTACTGTGAACCAGGGACTGTTCTGAATATGGCCTTAAAAAAATAGGCAAAAATATCCTGTCCCCTGGACTTTGATTAGGGCGACCCTTTCAGACTTTCTCAAATACATGTTTCCTTTAGTTGTCATTGTCCTTGTTGTTTTGAAACCTGACACAACAACATTTGTTTTGATGAGCCTAAGAAGTTATTCTTCCATATTTGTCATATAACCTTTTCAAAACATTTGTTTTTTGCTTTTGTAAAAAATATTGTAGCTACAGGCTGTGCCTGCTAATCATTTGTTGTCTGTTTTTTAATTTTTTTTCTTTTGAGCATGTTGATATACATGCTACATTTTTTTTTTCCCCAGGGTGGTTTGCCAATCACTTCTATAGTAAAAGCATATGTTTAGTGACAGTAGCTACATTACCATGTGGGTGTACCATGTTTTTGCCTGTTGTCTGCTATTAAACACTACATCACAGGCACTTTTCCTCAATGCTCATACACATTTTCCTCAGCTTATATTTTTACTTTAGAAAATCTTTAAAATATGTAAAAATGTAGCAGGATTTGTGAGAATGAATTAGCAGTGCAGATTACTTTAAAAATAAACTCTAGGAATGATGGATTCACTGCATTTATTAAAAAAAATTCTCACCCTGTAAACCATATTTGATCTCCAAAACTGAAACATTTATGGATTTTGACAGAGTCTGTTCTCTTAAATAGACATATGAATTTCCTCTTGTGCTTCAAAATCTTACTTTGAAATATTTATCTTGAGCAATTTTGAATATTTCCCTCTCTGTCCATGATAAGCATTCATTTAAAATATTGAGAATCAGGTGTTCTCTTTGTGTGCTACAAAACTCATAGACTTTTAGAAGTGCCTGTTAGAGATGTACATCACTTACCTCATTTGTCTGTTGTTCTTGCTAAGTACAGTTTGAGGCTGCTCTCTGATAGCATCGGCCACATTCCGGACAGCAGCTGCCTGTTTTGGTCATCAGCTATGTTTTCTACAGCCAGCACACACAATTCCCCTCAAGTGCTCTCAGGTGTTGCTATTCCCCAACCATGCCTGTGAGCAAGTCTTTCTTAAATTTTTTTTTTTTTTTAATGTGGAAGACTGTCCCCTTGAGCTTGCCATTTTATCCAGAGTGTTGCAGAAAGTCTGTTTACCCAGCTGCTAGCATTGAAACCTAGGTACAGCTAAAGCATATTAAAAATCCCTAGCTAAAACAAGGAAAAAGAAAAATTAATAGAGACTAATTCAGGGCCTTATAAAGCAAAACTCCTTATTTGCAATGCTAAAGAGAAACAAATTCTTAACCCTGTGCTATTGACACACCGGATGAATGATAGTTAGGCATTCAAGATAGAGATGGAAAGTTGTGATGTCTGCTGAATCTGAGTAGGATAAAGATAATGTATTAATGACTGGGGAGAGATAATAATAAGATATGAAATGAGGATGAAGGAAAAG